GGAATATTTTTTCGCTTGTATTCTGACAGAATAAAGCTTATATCAATCATGCAGGGCTGTCCAACTTCTGATTTTATAGAGAAATGTTTGCTCTACATTCTTGCCGAGTCAGAAAATTTTTAACCAAGCAATATATGAAACATCAGATTTTTCAAAAAGTATAAAATTCCTAGTCAATCACTCGGTGCATGCCAAAATACAATGCACATGTCGTCAGCATGAACAGTTGGAGAAATCTAAAACGGTAAATGGCATCGCGAAATGAAAATCTGCATTAGGTCATATGCTATATTGAACAGAGTGCGCGATAAGATCACTAAAGGATGCCAGGCAATGAATTCGAACGTCTATCTCTAGTATTTATGTTCACGAGAGAATTTTCGTTTTTCATGTTGCATTTTTCTGTTTTTTCACATTCTCATGTTTGAAGGACGGAGAAATTCGTTTGTTATGTTTTGAGAAGTTAGGAGTTTCGAATAGCAGAAATGTACTTATGCGATCGTTGGTGATTCATAACGATCTCGTTCATTTTTACCACAAAACACCATCACTAAATGTTTTTTCTACCTATGGAACCATAAAAGTGATTAATTTTAGTACCTTATCAATCGCCTGTGACGAGAACTATCTGTTAGTCCATATCATTGATATAAATTAAAAATGACGACGGATGTAGGACTCGCTCTTGTGTAAATCGAAAAGTCACCTAGTATGATTTTCGGGCTAAACCTGGTGTAGAGAAATAACGAGCAGAGTCTAAAATTGTATCATTCACTTATTATATATTCCAGAAGACTTCGATGAATACTTCTATTCTAGAGAAAACGAGAAAAATTTCCTGTGCAGTTTAGATTTAAGCCTTACCACAAGTTAGGCATTTTAAGGAAACATGGCTTCACAGTTACGGAAGCGGTCTTCGAACGACGCATGCTATCGAGGTCATTCTTTTCGTCATTCAAACAACCATTCCTTCAGCTTTGATTTGATATAAAAATAAGATATATTTCGATGCATTTTAATGACAGTAGAGCAAAAATAAGAATAGCTGTTTTTGCCTTTTGGGCTATTTTACAGCTGGGATCTGCTGAGGGTCACTTCAAAACTCAGGTTCCACGACAAACTAAAAGCATTGGAATCAGTTTATTCAATAGCAAATAAAACATATAATTATAAACGAATGATATGTAATCAATGGAAAACTAGTATCAGTAAATGGATAACGGAAAAATCAGGTAGTCTTCTAAATCAAAAACAATAAATTCAAATAATAATAGTCACCATAATAGTCAAATAAATAATCATAATATAGTTAGTCACCAAGTAGTTTTAGAATTACAAAAAAAAGGCAAATATAGTTTAAGAGCACAATCACGAGCTAAATATAAATTTAAACTAGTAAAGAATTTTATTTTGGTCTCATCTTTTGTACATCTGTCATTCGATCTATTCACCACAATCTCAGTCACCAATACATTTAAGCTGCTCATCTTTATGCATATTCAATTGTAATTTTCACAATCACCACCTTACCATCTTTTACTGTACTTATTATTTATTCCTCACATGTCTTTTTAGACATGTGTTATATCTCTCTCATTTCTGGATTTTAATTAATTCAATCATTTCTGGATTTCCAAACATCAGCCTGTTATACATCACTATTTGCAGATGTTTAATATTCTGCGCGCACATTTTAAATTAGCTCTCGTATATAGTGTGTTCTTTTCTGTAATTACTAGCTATTCATATCATGTGTACTAGTGAAGAAGGAGTCGGTTTAGACTTCGAAACGTTTAGTAGTTGTAAATAAATTTATAAACTAAAATAATATTCTACGAGGAAAACGAAATTAAAGTTAAATATGATTTCCTTATCATATTATCAACAGAATTATTTATTTAGAAAAGATGATTGACACTAACGGTGCTATGTCAAATTTTACTACGTGATAAACAGTACACTCAATGGCTTACATTTTTCTCTATGATTTGGCGTACAGCATGATTGCGTGCGAACTAATGTTATATTTTAAGAATAAAATTTGACTGTGCAGCATGCACGTATGAAGTGAGACACACAATAGATAATCAAAATGTTGATGAATTCCAACAATTTACTTCTAATGATTGTGAAATTAGCGTTTATTTACTTTTATCGTCATTATAAAATAGATAAAAACAACAGATGAGAATATTCGGAATCTGTAACATCAATTAATAGACACATTATTCTGGAGATATAACATGAGAAAGTGACAGGTCATGTACGTTCATTCCAACGATATATCAATGGTACTTGTAGAAAATTAGTTTCAAAAACTAATCATTTTTTTTACTTAATTACGACTTATGCTATTTTTCGGATAATTTATTTGTAAAAGAAAATTTTTTATTCTTTTCTCTTATGAAAAACATAATTTGTGAAGAATTCTATTGACCTGGTAAACTGAAATGAGTGTAAATCTCATTTTCTGTTGTGAAACAATATAGCTGTTTTTTATATTTTAAAGAGCTTAAAAGAGGTCTTGAATTACTTCTTTGTGAACACGAAGAATCCGATTTTTTTACTGTGTACAATAAAAACTAAAGCCCAGCTACCTCTCTTTGAGTTACAAGTTGATTAAGCTTTTTTTTAACGATATAGTGTAATTCCTTCTATTCAAGTCGGATGATATTAAGAAAAATAACATTGTACAAACGCATGTATGGAATACACAAATCAATCAAATTGTCTATTTAAAATAGATAAGAATCAAAAGAAAAGAAAGAAAATTCTATACAATACCATGTGAAGTTGACTACATCTATCTACTCAGCATGATATTTTTATTATCTCGCGTCATATTTAGGATGATTAATACATTATTGAGAGCACAAAGATGCTAGAATTTGATAATTTTGCTTATCTGACACTGTCTATTTTATTTAGAAAGAGTAAACAACAGGATCACTCAGTATGCAGAAAATATTTGAGACTAATCTTTTCCCTACGAATTGATCATTTTTTCAAACTGAAGTTCCCAGTTTGATTAGTTTCTATAACTTTAACTGTTTGCAACCGAGGGGCCTATTTCAAAAGTATGCTGTCGCATGATACGATTTTATAGGAATCTGATCGTATGTTCATCTATATGTATATCTATACTGTATATCTCGTGAAAAGGAGGGCAGTTTTTTTCTCTAAAGCAAAAGGACTTAAAGATATTCTAATGATAAATTCTTATTCATCAGAATCTGAATTACGGTATAAAAGTCCACGCTTGTCGGTAACAGATTTCCAATCTTAATCATCATCCAGTACACACAGAATATACAACAATCGCATAAATTACTTTGACAGCATTCTCTGATTGAAAATAGCAGACGTTTCTGTTGCACTAAACGTTGTTATTTGCTAAAGCTGGATGCTTATCTCACAGAATACGAGATACTAGTTCACTTTTCGAATTAGAAAATCAGTGAGTATATGTGTGTGTGTATTTAACAAGAGTAGTAGAGTGAGCACGCTGTGTATTTTAAGAATAAGTTATTTAAAATTTGATTCATGTAATCAATTATAATTTTGATAAAACTGTAATTTGACTAAAGTAACAGTACTGCTTGATAAAAGATTCTATGAAAAAGAAGACCTCCTTTTCTTATAGGAGATTTGAAAGAGAAGCATATTGCATATGATTGTTTTGAATAATTTCGATTAGAATGGGACAATTTTCAAATTTAGTCAAGAGGAAAGGCTGGTAGCCTTGTTCGAGAGCCTTTCGTCGTGCAGCTGATATGTTCGAGAGAGGAATTCGAAGTAGTTCATTTGTTTTTTGTAATCTTTGTAAACATTGAAAGCTGACATGCAGTAGAGAAAGGTCAAAAAAGAACGTTTAATGAAAGCTTCATTCTTAAAAGTGATATATTTGTTGCAGAATTGAAATTAAAATTCCACTTGTGGAGATAAAAATTTTAATCTCTACTAGTAAGAGTGAAACTACTTCAAGAAGTGGATGAGAACATTTGAGAACATTGCAAGGTGTGAGAGTGACTGGCAAAACAACGTAAAGTATCATGAGTAGATATACCAATGTACGAGACCATATCACTTGGGATATTGTCTTGTCGCGCTCACTCTCATATTCTGCAATGCCCTCGGATGTTCTCATCCAGTTCTGGAAGCCTGTAAGCTCGATCTTACAGTTCAAAGCCTAGTTTATGGAGAATACATGCTTCAGGCCATGTGTAGGCATTTTACTTTCCACTAACAGAGCTTAAGATTTTAATAATCTAAAGATGAATAATCTAAAGAGCTTAAGATTTTATAATCTACACTAGTGGAACTTTAAATTCCACTAAATTTTTATTTTTCTCAAACGAATTCGAAACTTTTAAAGACTTGGTAGAAAAAAAGCTTTATAGCAAACTCCTGCGTCTTCAAATTCATCTATAGGAAAATACGACTTTATGCGAATCTGATCGTATGATATTTCGTAAGATCGTACAGTTAGATTTGAAAAGTCTCTATACTAACACTACCATGGTTGTTCCATTGTATCACCAAAACATCGTGATATTTTTTCTATATTTTATTGTAGTAACTCTGAAAAATGTGGAAATGTAAGTTTTCGTGATTAATAGATTAATTAGACAATAAATTTCTTTAGTAATAGAGCTTGTGGATGGATCATTCATTATAGAAAGGAAACAGCTTTCTCCGATATACGAAAAATAGTTTATTCTGACGGAGATCATGATATTTTTATTATGAATGAGTAATTAAAAAATGTTTTAAAGCAATTTTTACATCAGTTAATCGAAAAATGTTCAAGGTATTTGACTTTCAAAAAAATGAATTTCCAATGTTCGAATTACACGAAAAATACGGTAAAATACGACTTTATTCAACTACTTTCCGATAATCGACTGTAATCAATAAGATTCATCCATTATATTTTTCATTTTAATTATACGACAACGACAAAAATAATTATAGAAGTTGTAAGGACATTTGATATATTGTTATAAAAAACATAGACAACAATTTGAAATATGATCTGGATCGTCACTTTTTATATATTCAAAAAATAATTTTTTCGCTTTATCTTCTTTTAATTTCCCATCTTTGGCTATTTGATTAAATGCTTTTTCTGCTGCCTCCGTTTTAACACCAAAAAATTGACATGTTTTCATCCATTCATCTTTTTCAATCATACCATCATTATTTAGATCTAACATTTTAAATGTTGTATTCACTCTTTCACATAATTGTTCGAGTAATTCAGGATCTGTGTCTGGTTTAGTTAATTCATCTCTTAAACGTTGATGAAATTCTAACCATTCATCTTCATTAAAATAAGTAAGCAAACAAAGATTAATTTGTTATTTTTTTACTAATCAATTTACAAATGCTTACCAAGTGTCACTTTTCCATCATGATTTGAATCTGCTCGCATTATTTCCTCGCATAATGTTTTTCGTGCCGTTGCATATTGTTCGGAATGTTGAGGATTATCTTGACCTACGAGACCTGATAATTTACTAGCAAGAATTTCAAAATCAACTGGTGTTATAGAACCATCTCCATCAGCATCTAAAATTTTGCTACATTTATTTGTCAATAAAAATATATTTAGAAAATTATTCTCTACCGTATAAATAAAATAAATTTGTCATTTTTGTTTTCCAAAAGTTTTCGCCTCTTCCACTCTAAACAAAATATGAGACGATTAATAAAGTATTTAACGAACGATTGCTCTTAAATCTTAGAGATAATATCAATTGGATACGAAAGAGACAAACTATAAGACATCGACATGTTATTAACCAAATAATGATTGATAAATGAACTAAAATTTGAATACTAAGAAGTATCATAATAGCAGCTAGAAAGTATACACAAAAATTAGTTGTGTATATTTTCTAGCTGCCATTATAATATTTTCTATTATTGACCACAGCTTTTCTTAAATCTTAACTATTTTTCTGTGCAAAAGATGATTCATAAAAAGTTTTCAGTTCTTTAGTGGATATTAAATAGAATTAATTTTCTAAACCTTTAACAGCTAGGTCTTTCAAAGTATTCAAAGATTACACATAATTAGATCATTCCCGCTCGTGCTTCCGAAATGAGAGTATTATTTGAGTGTAAAAAGGGTATTAGTGGGACATTTGCTCTTTACTTACCATTTTGTCAACTTCCAATTGATCTGATAGTAAATAACAGTCTAACGAATATATATATTTTTATTCTACTCAAAAGGATCGATCTATCGTTCCTTTTGGTTGATCTAGTATAATAAATTGAAATTGAAATGAATGATTACTATAGGACGACAGTATTCTTCAATAGACGAAATTAGAAAAAAAAAAAAAAAAAAAAAAAAAAAAAAAAGTGGTGAGGGTTGTAAAAAAAAATGGGAAAATTTGTTGTTTGGTTTTTGTGAAGGTAACCCGAAGCCGGGGCCTTAAAAAAAAAACAAAAGANAAAACATGTCAATTTTTTGGTGTTAAAACGGAGGCAGCAGAAAAAGCATTTAATCAAATAGCCAAAGATGGGAAATTTCTAGTTTGTTTGTTGTGAATCTAACGAGAAGCCTTGTCCTTAAAAAAATAACAAAAGAAGATTAGATGGACTAATAAATATTGTAGTAAGTATACTACTATACTGATAGTGTCATTGTTTTTCTCTTTCTATTTTTTTGTTGAATATTACTTCGGGAGAGAAAACACTGTAAAGAAGAAATAAAAAATATATATTAAATCTAAATTCGTTAGGAGGGACATATCGACAGTGCGTTTCTTTCTTATACAGCCGTAACAGAAAAACAACCTCTTTTATTGACATACAACATTTCGGGTGTCTGGATAATTATTGATTCATGTCGTTCGATCGTTCTTTACTTCTAAAAAAAAGATATATACATACGATCATCAATGAAATACAACAGTTGAAAACATATTCTTCTATTTATAGTTCCCGCTTTTTTTTTTTTTATACTATAGACTATTATCATTGTTATAGTTCTAATCAAGTTTTATTATTCATAACGCAATGAAGAACATTCATTCGATTGAATAGAAGAAAAAAAACTGATTACAAATTAAAAAAATTAGAATGAATATTGGAAGAACGTGTTAAAAATGTAATTTTCGATATATTCTTCTACTCTTTCCGAATATTTCAGATATTTTTCTTTTTAATGCTCTTTTGTCGTCATAAAAATAGTTGAACCATTTGGGACCTTTAATATAGTTCAAATATAATATGTTTTTTGTTTAAGAACTGATATAGTCATTTGACTAAAGAAAAATAAATAACTACATATACGACAAAAGTCATCTTAGTCAATAAATTTTTAATTCTTATGTTATATATCTATTGTAAAATCTTTCAAAGTAAAAACTATAAATTAACATATTTTCAATAATATTTTCTATGTAAAAAATGACTCGATTCATATATTATTTCGATAATATTTTATATAGAAAATATTTGAAATCACAGGTTGAAATTAGTTTTATTATTTTTGAGAATAAAAAAATATGAAAAAAATAAATAAATAAAATGCATCAAATCTGACAAGATTGATAAATATTAGACAAATATCATTAAGTATAAAAAATTTTATACCACCAACGAAATAACCTATTTATTAATTTATTTTCTTTATCAAATTCTTGATATACATTTTTATCTCTTGAATAAGAGAAACTTATCTGATAATTAATTTTCGAATTTTGTTTTCGTTTATGAATACAGATAAGAAATTCATCAAAACTTAAATGAGTTAATGCACAAATTTGAACTGATAAAAAATGAGATGATGCATTTATCTGACGTGCATGATATTTAGCTAATAAAAATTTTTTCACATAATATTCATCATCATTTTTGATTAATTTAACTAGTTTTGATAGAACATTTATGGAAATTGATGATGCTTTTGTATTAAACCACGATGAAAATGTATACATTAATTGCCAATGAGCGATATTTGACTTAAATGCATTATCAAGATTTAATGCATATTGAGAATAATCATTAATTGTCAATTGATAACGATCATAAGAAAAGTGTCGAATTGATGGATGAGTTAGAGAATTTATCGGACTTAATGATGGCTGTCCCAGTATTACTAGAATGACAAAAAAAAAATTCGAATAATAAAAGCAAAATTTTTCTATTTTATATGTATAACTTATTACCGAATTTATTTTTGTACACTCGAAACATATCTTGATGACGATGACCTGCTAAACATAATATTATTCTATGGGAATAATTTTCAATAATAGATAAAAGCAATTGTTCGTAGTGTAAATCGAGAAATCGATAGAGAAGATCTTCATTAATACCTGGTGGCACGTGCAAGAGTAATAAAACCTAAAAAGATAATAGAACGGTATAAATCCCTATTTATCAAATCACTAAAGAAAATCGGAAAACTTAGTGATGACATAAGTCTTTTTGGTAGTAAAACAAAACTTGTTCATAGAAAGAGGAAATATATCTGTTTTTGCATATCCCATCCTCTTTCATCAAGAATCTTTTAGTACGAATTTTATAGCTTTCTATTGAGAGTTATTAATGTTTGGCAACTAGAAACGTTGTATCTATTAGTCCTTACTAATGTATAAAAAGAAAAGAACCTTCTGTCATTCAAACAGAATATGTAAACGATACAATATTTGTTGTTTTTAATGACAATAATCGGATGATCTATTACACTTACTTTTTCATTATTCCTATCCGCATCTGCTATAGTTTTATTGAACCAATCCATTTGCTTTTTTCCATCATCTACCTCAAAATATTGCATCATATGTGGTAGAAATTGATTTGTGTTTAGAACGATAAAACGTAATGTATGACCAACTGTTGTTGAGAATAATATTGAATAGTAACCACCTAAACATGACTAACATAGAAATCAATATACAAGCTGCTCCTATACTTTACCTTCTACAAATGTTTTCCTTGCTTCTTCGTCTTTTATTAATAAATCAAATCTAGCGTTATCGAAAAACTTTTGAAATCGACCAGGTTTGGGAGTGGATAATACAATGTCATGATTACCTAAATCAGAAACAACAGGGCATTATCCATCAGTGCATGATAATAACAAATTTCCTTATGGTTCAAATTAATATATCTTTCTCAAACAAAAAAAAGAAATTCATATCGTGAATCTAATTTCCAATAGCAGAAAAGCAAACACTTTAGATTTATTGTACTTAAATAATCATTGCTTGTTTCATGTCTTGATTTCATTCGAATGAATAAAATCGTTAAAACAAACCTAATACTTTTCACATGAACGTTCCCATGTCATCAGAACCGCTAAAATGCCGCCGGTCACCGCCCAGTACAATGGGAGGTTAACCTAATGGACATGTGAAATTACCGAACGGTCTACCGAACCGCGCGATATACCGATCGGTTGTACCAGCGGTATCAACCGGTTTTTTATCAGTATGAGCAAACAGTACAGGAGTTCGAATCTAGTTCTCAGCTTTCTTTTTTTGCAGCGCGCATGCAACGCAATGAGGTTTCCGAACGGGATAAACTTGACTCAAGTCAAAGGGCAAACTTCGACGAGTCTCTATAATCTGAAAGAGAAAGGTTTCATCTAAAAAATAATCAAAGTTTTTTGACTTTTCTGCATTTCTTCTATAGACTGACAACCGCAAAACAAAAACGTGATTGTGTCAAAACGATTTACCGACGGTTTTTTCTTGTACCGCGGTCTGATAAGAACCGTGCGGTAACCGCCGGTTGAAGAAAAAACCGTCGCTAAACCGACCAGCGGTAATCTATAGACCGGTCGGTAACCGGCGGTATTACGAAAAAATGTGCGATATGAGAATCTAAATAAATTTTAATCTGAAAAAAACTCAAGTTTTCCTCATTTTTCAGTGATCCTTGTATTTAATGGTTTCTTTAAAACAAAACGGTGATTGTAAAAATCGGTTTATCGCTCGGTATATTGTTGTATTGCGGTGTATAAAATACCACGCGGTATACCAGGCGGTTTAGCGACGGTTATTTTGTATACCGCGGTTAGAGAAAATAACCGTCGCTAAATCGCAGGGTATACCGAACGGTTCGGTCCAACCGGCGGTATTCTCAAAAAATGTCCGACATGGATTAATTCAATAGGATGAGAACTTGTTTCATCATAAATTAAACCATCGTAATATATCAATTTCAAAATGTCGACAGTACTTTGTCATGTATTGTTCCTGCAATGTTTTATACATTAACATTGAGTTTCAAGTTAATCCTTATATGATCTTGAAGTCCTCCTTTGGCAAAATAGTATCTAGTATCGCAACATAACTGTTTATTGAAAAATGCATTTACTTATTTTTATAATAAAATTTATATGCATATTTTTTCAACTTGTGGAAGTGTACCCAACTTTTAGAATAAAGAAAATTGTATATAATAAACTTTTGGTTTGGATTTGGCAATGGTATTATCAAGCAAATGTTGAATTGTTTGCCATAATGGTGCATCACAAGAGCTATGAACAGAACTATCGTTGGAAGGTCGGTTAAATCTCATGATGAGTATTTTAAGTTCCTAAAGTTTCAGATAAAAAATTTATCGGATGCTTGATTTAACAAGTGAGAGTTGTGCTCAGTAAAGGAAATTGCATGTGGTTGCTTAGAGAATCAAACATTTGATTAACTTATGACTATAATGGGTATCCCACAAGTTCTGAAACGATTTCTAGAACGATGAATTTACAAATCGTTCCAGAAAAAAACATTTCTTACTATACCAAACGATGGACAATTTAATTCTCTACATATATTCATTTTGAAGTCATCTTTCATGTTTGGCACAGTAAGTCTAACAGGAAAAACTCCAAATTTCTTAATTGTACCATGTAGTTTTCAAGTGCAAACTGCTCTCCTTTTTTAATTGCTTATAATAAGTACAAAAAAATTTGAAATAATGTTATTACAGTCAGCTGGTGAAGAATTTCATGCTTTACAAAGCAAGCATTTATTTGAAGGAAATTTATTTCAATTGCTAGTGGCTTTAATACATAAACTTCCAAGTCCACCAAAGTTTGTAGCATCAAAAAAAGTTTTGACTATTCCAGTATAAAATCCAAAGTTAAAATCATTAGTTTATAGACCAAAAAATGCAGAATTTGGCGCTCTATTAGACTGTGTAACTTACAAATAAATCTGCTACTTTTTTTACCTGAAAAACTAGGGAATACTAGTTGTCGCTAAGATGGTTGGAAAGTAGGAGAAAATGACCTTTCTTAAAGACTCTTTTTGGCTCTGATTTCATCTAAAAAAATTATTGTTTGCCATTAAAAAGACACATCATATTGTAAAAAATTTCTTGCTGAATTTTTTGGTATACCTTGTTTTGTTGAATAAGTGATTTTTAGAAAGGTTTTGCGCAAAAAATCGGTTTTTTGAAGGTACAGTTAAGAAGTTTGGAGCTTTTCCTGTTAGACTTACTGTACCAAACATCAAAGATGAATCTTAAAAATGAATATACAGTCTTGGAGAGAATTAAATTGTCTATCGTTTGGTATAGTAAGAAATTTTTTTTCAGGAACGATTTGTAAATTCATCGTTCTAGAAATCGTTTCAGAGCTCGTGGGACACCCTTTATGTAAGAGAGATATAGGGAGAAAATATTTTACATAGGTTTTGATGGAGTTATCTCCTATAAAGAATTACGATTACCAGATATTTGGGCGCAACGACATCTATGCGCAATGACATTTGGGCGCAACGACATTTGAGTGCAACGACATTTGGGTGCAACGACATTTGGGTGCAACGACATTTGGGTGCAACGACATTTGGGCGCATGTACGACAAAAGCATTCAGTAAGAGTGCATTTGTTAAAGTATGATGCATAATGATAAAATTTTCTTTAAACAAACTTGGTACGGTGCGAGAGCTTTTTCTATATTATTCATATTCAACTGTAATAGTAAGTTACAGTTTGTAATAATAAGTTTATTCAATCTTCATCGATACTCACGCTTACCCACAACGGCGCCTTTAAACCTCAACTGTCGTTGCACCCTAATGTCGGTATACCAAGAATTACACGCTTTGAGACAATATGATCAGTATTATCTCTGCTAGTATAAAATGGAACTTCAAATTTACATTAATGTTAGCATTTACGTTGAACGCAGACTGTTTTTACGTTCATGTTCAATGAGCACGATAGAACACAAATGTGAACTTCACCATAGCTAATGATCTTCGTAGAGTTCGTCATTAATTTCTGTGCTTAGTATAATGATCTAAAAATGAACTTACCTAAAACAGGTAGAATAAGTTTGTTTGGAAATTGATGATGAAGTTCTCTGGATAAATTGAAATTTATGGCATAAATAATTTTCTCATCACTTGTTTTATGAGTGCTCGCATCCCTAAAATGAAGAATATATAAACCTATCGATTTTTTTCTATTTTCATAATTGTTAAAATTTGTTTTTCTTACGCAATAATCACTCGTTATAAAAGTTTTTAGGGACAAAGGTAGAAAAACGGTGAGTTAATTAAACAATTGAATAAATAGCACAACAAATGACTCAACGATAAGAGACATCGACCAATTATTCTACGTATCCATGTGTGTTACATCAACACTACATGTTTGCAAGAAATGTTTATGTTTTTTCTCACCAACCTATCAACGACTCTTTTGACCGGTGAAAGATCGAGTAACATAGTATATATATATATATACACTACAGTAGTCGATATCACGTAGTCAGTTCGACAACAACTGTGCCACTCAACAAAGCATAACGTGGAGTATCATCCTTGATCCTTGATTAAGTCCCTAATAACTCAAAGGAATGTCTGTAAGTATTAACATATGCGTACTAATGAATTTAGAACACGTCACAGAAACACTACCTTCAGTTCTCAGATTCAAAAACAAGCGGTCGAATAGAACTCAAATTTGGATATAGTTTCACTCCAATAATTTGAAAAAATCCTACCCGAGCCAAATAATAAAATCTGGATTTGGATCAATACGTCTAGCTGCTGTAATTGCGGATATTAATAAACTACCAGGTGCATCGCAGTTATAATTTCCATAAGTACCCACATACTCAGAATTGCTTGATTTCATTCGACAACCTTTATTTGGATCGCTGTTAACATCATAAAGATGGTCTACATGAGAATCTGACAACACCCAAAAATGACCTGAAAAAAGAATGAGAAAAAAATATGTAAAGTTTACGTTTTTCCCCATCGGATTAAAAACTTCAAAAAACTGTACGATCATCTCTTAAGTTTCCATTCGCATCAACGGTATACGAACTGTAACAAATCATGTCATCATAGAAACTACAAGTCCTTCCCATTTTTTTGTACCTTACTGATCATCATCAGACGTATATTCAATATCTTACAATTGTTTATTCTTTGTTCTCTGGTACATATGTGTTACAGTGGACATTAAGATTTCAGTCGAATTTAAGCTCAACCTCTGATCGTAACTATCCGGAAAATATTTTTGGACGTATGAGTGATGAAAAAACAACATTGTTAAGGAGTTGTGCATTGGCAAGGATGTAGTAGGATATGCATAGGTGGAATATTTCTGAGACGGTTTCTTTTCGCTTACTCTCACATTTGATAATACCCTTGAAATATGAAAAACTTTTAATGTTACTCTATAAAACTAAAATTCTCTCTTTAAAATATTGATTAATGGAAATTCATGTTCTATCACATGTATAAAAGGCACCTAAACACGGGAAATACAAATTAGCAAAATACCACGTTTATGTTAAATAAAAGGCACGAATAAACTCAATCTCTTGCACTAACCTAACGTTTTATTATCGTGTTTTATATGAGATGTCTCTCTCCAATTCTGGTGAATAAACAACATATATATGGTTAGTAGACACGTGAACCCAAAAGCACAATAACATTTCCTTAATAAATTTGTCTCTCTTTGAGTAATATTTTTTATTTTATCATCATTATTCTTGATCACATAATCGTCTGAAGTCATTTCTATTCTTGTTTGGTTGGTCATGTTATTGTGTTGATGACAACTAATAAAATTATTAGTGTATGCGATAATAACCGGATAGCTGCAATAATAATCAGTTACAGAACAATATTGTATACAATGATGCAATAGTCACGGTGATATCATCTGCTATTATCAAGCTAGACTCTAACAACCATGCGTGCATCACAAAACAGTCACAGGTGGATGCACAAGTTCTGGGCGTGGAAAAATTATGTATGTGCTTACCGTTTTTAAAAGAAATTGGACTTTTTTCAGACGAAATTGAATATATAGCACTTAAAAGGCATCTAGGCGAAGTTCAGAACTCAAGTATGTCTTATGGCAATCAATCTATTATGATACATCTAGAAATAAGTGATTTTACTAGCCTTGTCATAGAATAGCACGTTCCTATTTCGTGAAAATTCAAAATGTATAAAGTGGAACTTCCTAGAGAGTCACTTTTGGGTAGAGTACTGATATACATGTATAATATGCCTCATCCAACAATCTTAGGTTAGGTTAGGTGAGGTCAGGAAAGTTCAAATGAATTTTCTAACCTTGAATTTACCTAACCTAAGATGATCTACTATATAACTGTACATTCTTACCGTACTGTCATGTCCTTAATCTTACCTTACCTAATACATGATTTTGAAAATAAAAGTGTGTTGGAAAGAATTTTTAGATACTAGATGTCATTTTTTGAATTTTTCTTCCTGAAATAGGAACATGCCATGAACTTAGCCTTGTATTCTTTTATCAGCATTAAACATATAGTAACGGCATTTGCAGAACGTGAGGAAATAGAATGAAAATTACCCACGTCATTTTTTTGCGAGAGAAAGAGAAATGAACAGCATGGACAAAAGTAAAAAAATTACTTTTATTTTCCTTTTTGATATATACATAAAAATACATTTTTACTTTTTACAAAGAGAAAACTATTTTTGCTTATTCTGACAAACAAACGGGCAAAATGACGGAACAGAAAGATTTTCTCTCAGTATTTGAATTTTTTTTGAGTAAATCGAATCTCAAGAATAAGAACTGTATTTAGCACAATCTCTAATAATGTTTGGTCTTCGTTTTTTGACATTTAATATGCCCTCACTTGTTATCAGCGTACGTTTAAGATTGATTCAAATTCTTGGTGTGGTGAGAGAAGATCGTCGTTTCAAAACTGAAAAAGTTTGATCAATTCCCATATTGTGTAAACCGCTTGAAAGCCGTCGGTTAACTTCCATTATCAGAGCTGAAACCATAGCAACACCGCATAAAAATCGATTGTTAAGTGCCCAGTTAACTGGAAACAACCGCGGTTAGTCGACCGTTTTTCCGGTTAACTGGGCGCTTAATCGTCGGTTTTTATGCGGTGTTGCTATGGTTTCAGTTGAAATAACAGCGGTTTATACAATATGGGTTTACATCTGTGTGAAAAATAATTATAATACAATGCGAGATAAAGCAGAATCTTTATTATGCTACATTGAGACAATTATTTTAGGAATATTCTGAGAGATTGTAAGCATCTCACAATATCTCAAAACATGACGTAGTAATTGATAAATACTAGATCGAATAATTCTTCATCATTTTGCTTTTTTTCTCATATAATTACTTTACACAGTGCATATACAGCCGTCGAATTTTAATTGTGAGAAAAAGCTTTGGCCAACAAACGGAAATTTTCATAGAGTATTTGATTTCTCTGAACACTTTAAATTGATCAAAAGAGAAATATATGGCTTTAAGGAAAGAGATCACAACTTTTTATCATTAATAAAAATTGGAGTAATTCTGCTTGCCCTTTGTATTTTTCTGTGCATGCAACAGAATGAATATTGATTATACAATGCCTTTATGAACGAGAATTTAAAAGAGATAAAATGATTCGTATTTTTTTAGAGAACGGATATTTTTTATAGCTGAAAAGAGAACAGATAACATTATTTTAGGATGTTATCATGTTCTTGATCCATCAAAATTAGAAAACTTCGGTAGATCAAAGAAGGCACGCTTGGCATTGTTGTAAATAAATAAAAGAATATACTATAGCATCAGCATATAACTATGAGAAAAAACCTCGTTGTAAAGTTTACTTATAGCGTTAAAAAAATTGTTTGTTTTATGTTCATAAATGGTCTGTTTTGTGATGAATAGACACTTCTATCTGCTTACTATACTCAGAAAAAAAATCAGCTCATTTGGGCAAAGAATGACGAAAACATTGAACATTTTCTAACTCTAAGGACTTTACGGACACCCTATATATATTTCAAGAAATCTAATTAAAACAAAACGCAAACACCCATTATCAATCACCCTCATCGAAACATGTCATATGATGGCTTTGAATTTATCTATCTCATTTGTAAACTCACCTCACTCTCAAGAATCCTTATATACACATTAATGGGTATATCGACAAATGAGGGTGAAGGTGAAATCTTTCTCCACACATCAGCAGGCAACACAAAGACTAAAGATCCCATAGAATCATCGCACACACATATCCGTGTAACTAGAAACGCGTCGTGTCATACCTTGAATATCTTGTCTTTTCATTTATACTTTCTATGTAAACTTGATTGGATTCATTACGATTGATTATATACATTTTAACTTCTTCATTAATTTGGAGGCTTTTAATCTATATAATTTAATGTGCTAATATATTCTAAACATGTCTGATGAGTCCCTTAAGCAAGATCGAAACACGTGTCATGGTAGCTTGTCTCAGTATTGCTGGATGAATTTACTATTACCATTTTGTTTTTTTCTTCTTTAAAAATTTTGTAACAATATAAATTAGTTTTGTTTTGAATTTTATTCAAATTCATACAAATCTTGCCACCTGATAAGATCCTTAAGCAAGATCGAAACACGTGTCATGGCAGCTTATCTCACCCTCAAGATTTTGAAGCGGAGAGGGTTTGAGCTCATGTGAGAGCATAGCAACAGTTTCACACTCACTTTAGTAATGTAGTCCTGTATACCGTCTGTATCTATTACAATCAAACGACATAAAATACACAGACGGCCTGTCACTACCAGTTTTCCATGCTGTTAAAACTTGTTTCCAACAATCAAACGTGTAAACACCGGGCAATGGTTCTTCTGATGTACCAAGAATGATCCAGCCAACTGGGCCTGTAAGAATACCAGACGCCAAGTTGGCAGCTCCACAAATGGCTGATGCAACTCCTGCACCAGTTCCCACACCAGTGATTGAGGCCACTGCCGCTCCTGTAACGACACCAGTTCCAATTGCACCAACTTTCGTGGCTGCAACCGAACCCAACAATGCGCTAGCAACCCCTCTACTGGTGATGCTGCAGCCACTGCTGTTCCGGTTGGGCCTTTTGTAATTGCTGTATTAAGAACTTCAAGTACTGCACCACTAATCGCACCAGTGAAAGCGCCTGTTGCAAGCACTCCATTGACTGCTGGTAGAGTAACAGCAGCTCCGGTTAAAACAACCATTTCGGAGCAAATTACTAACTGTGGTGGTGGCGAATAAATATAAAAATGGAAAAAAGGTAAATGCTAATGAAACTGTAGCCAAGTAACGGCCCTTGGTAGTATAGAAAACTGGGGACAAAATAAAATGAAAAAACAATAAAGATTTTATTTTGAAAAGTGAAGTTTAACAAAAAGTCTGCCTATATACAATCAAACTATTTGCTCGCCTAAACGACCTGCATGTCAGTGTCTTTTAAATTTTAAGGGATCGAATAAAAATTGTTTAACTCAAAAGCAAATTTTGGCATATTACATTTTATGATTAATGTTCACTATGCTTCGACTTTAGCGTTCCGTTACATCCAACAAGTTTTTGCTTAAAAAAATCTACTAATCACACATCATTCGATGCAGTTTCTTGCGCTGATTCGGAGTATGTAATTTTTGTTGAATAAAAACGTTTCCGAACCGGGAAAAATGAAAAATACCTGAAAAACTCAGGTTTTTTGGAAAACCCGTTGTCTGCTTCAGAAACATTTGTGCATTCACCATAGATACAAAGCATGTTGACGAACATTTTGCCAAAGTTTGGTCGAGCTTCGAATTGGGCTGTGGAGGGCGCGCTCATTTTACTGAAAATAGCCGTTCGGAAAATCACTTTAGAAAATTTTTGTAAAATTTTCTCAGCTCTTATACGTCCAAATTAAAATTTTTTTTTACTAATCTATAGCAGAGACCATGTAGATTTAGAATATATCTCGTTTTTGATATAATATATCTCGTTTTATTTGTTTTGTTTTCCACAATATTAGGTTATTGTGGATTATTGCGCTACGTTTAGTTGACTGCAATTTTTGATTTTCTTTGATCTCTTCCTTAACTCTTTGGAATCGCTATGGATTTCAAAGGATGAGGATTGTATAGATACTTAAACAACACGGTATATGTTGACACTTCAAGCCACCAGAACATGCGTTTTGATTCTACTTTGTTACATAGCATCATGTTCAAAATAAGTATCTTTTTGTTGTGTTTTCGGTTTGAAAGTAATGGACATGGAAGCTTCGCAGTATTTCACCTATACGCCCGGAAACAAATAGGTAGACTCCGTATTTTGAGCATTTCATCACTATAAAAACATATTTTTTTAAAAGTAACTACATATTCTGAAAGCCCGCACAGTGTGCATCCTGGCGGACATTAGAGCGAAAAATGAAAATCACTTTAGAAAATTTTTGTAAAAATTTCTCAGCTCTTATACGTCCAAATTAAAATTTTTTTTACTAATCTATAGCAGAGACCATGAAGGTTTAGAATATATCTCGTTTTTGATTACAACTCCAATGACTGAAAAAAATATGTTTTTATAGTGACGAAATGCTCAAAATACGGAGTCTACCTATTTGTTTCTGGGCGTATAGGTGAAATACTGCGAAGCTTCCATGTCGAAAAAATAGGTGTGAAAACAACGAAAAAATCAAGTCTCTGGGAATCTTCATGCTTTCATTGTACCCAATCTTTTTCGATAATTCATAAGTTGAAACAAAAACATAGATATACAGGGTTGTAGAAAACTCCACGGGCTTTCAGAATATGTAGTTACTTTTAAAAAAATATGTTTTTATAGTGACGAAATGCTCAAAATACGGAGTCTAACTGTTTTTTTCTGGGCGTATATATTCTTTTATTTCTGCGGTGCAGGAGTGTAATCGGTATCAAAAATGCGATACCGGTACCGGTCACCGGTATACAAACTTCGTACCGGTACCGATCGGTATCGACTTGTCTTGATCGTGTTTTGCCTATATACTTCATACTAATGCCGGTATAACGGTCACCGTTATAATTCATACCGATACCGATCGGCCTCCTAATTCATACCGGTACCGGTTGCACCTCTGCTGCGGTGCATAAAAAAATGTTCAATATGTTTTTGTAGAGAATGAAATGAGAAATCTTTTAAAAAAGCCGAAGCCTTGATAATGAAAACTGAGAGAGATATTAATGAAATATTGAGACCACTATTCTTTATAGCCCACCCGTTACATTAGGTACTAGCAGAAATCTTTTGAAAAATTCTCTAAAAAGGCTTTCTCTTATAAAAAGATGCTTCATAAGCTCCTCTTTCCATATCTAAAAAAAAATAGTTATATTTATTGACAAATTAAATAATTCTTCAAAAAAAGAAATAACAAAATAAACATATATTTAATAAATTTTTACATATCTAATCTATCTCACTGTTATTCTCTTTAAATTATCACTATTCTCATTATTCGTCCATGCATTGTTGATTGAAATTAAAAACGTTTGCAGTTTATTTCGTCTGTGTTCTTTTGTATTGAGGTAAAAACGCGTAGAAGATGGCTAACAGAAGCCTAAAAAAATATAAGAATTTGGTAAAAACAAAGTAGCTATAAGTACATCTTTCCAACGTTGTATAATAGATAGTTTTTGATCTCATGCGAGACAAAACTTGTACCATTAACAAAAATAGTACCTACATATCCGAATTATTTTGATGTTTTATTACATAATTGAAAATATCGTTGCCCATATTTATTCCATTTGGTATGAGACATTGAACAGATTTTATAAAGGATACCATTACTAATGTGCTACAGGAAAAGTTCATACACCGTACATCTAAAAAATCCCAAATTTGTATAATAAAAAGAATTTGAATTAGAGGAATAAAAATATCTTACCAGTAAGAGCAAGTACTCATGAATATCTCGATAGTTTTCGGGCTACATTCGAAATGCAGGTGGTCCCATCCATGTATATCTTTTTGGGTAGCAATATTTTTGATCACCAAATGTTTTAAATACTAATGATCACCAAAAAAAGATACTTTTGATCAGTGAATTACACAACAGACCGTTTACTTTATACAGAGAGAAACGCTAGGCAAGATCTGACTCCAGTGCTCATCGCTTTACAGTGTGTGTCATGAATAAGCATATGACAACAATATTTTTCTTCTATTGTTTGTATTATTGAAACAAAGCTAGGCAAAATTCTTCGAATCTCCTCAACTGTTAGTATCATGTCATGAAAATTATTAATGTAGCGTCAAAATGATTTTGAAATAAAACAGACCATTCTTTCGAAAATTAAATAAAATCATAAAGCATTATGCATAAAAAAGGATAGAAACAAAGTGTAGAATGAGTTATGCTTTATAGGGGCTATGAGGACTTCTAATTCCAAGTCCTTGATGTGTGCGTCGTGATGACGAAATTAGTTTTGATTGTACTACAAAAATGATCAGGAATATTCACCTGACTTTCATCAATTTGACGTACGTATTTCCTCTAATGCCTCTTACAATTTCTCATAGCGGTAATTTTAGAACGATGATATGGCTTTTGAATGGTGAACTTGTTCAAAATGGCGGTTTACTATTAAAAATGTTCAATGTTACGAATAATCAAAGTGGTGTATTAGTGTGTATGGTCAACATTGAGTCCTATGATTATCCCGTTAAATTTCGGACAATAATTGTTAATTCCAAGTCCTTAATGTGTTGGTCATAATTAGTTGACTCAATCTTCTATGATAGAGGATTGAATCTCTCGAAAGCAAACTTTCATCACCTGAAGTGTCCAATGTGGTTTTCGTTCCTAATATTGTTAGAAGATGGAACAGAGATTTTAGATTTAGCATACCTGATCAGTGTACATACCCGTTGATAAATTTTCTTCTGTAGTGGTATTATGGAGATTGCATCTTGATCATCATCGTCAATTTCTATTAGGTTGAGTAGAACACGATCATCAAATGATTGTTCAGCAGCATTTACAAGTTCAAAATCAGAGTTATTAGAGTAATAATCCGATGTTACGTAGAACTCTTCACCATAACACGAGAGAGTAGTTATATCCATTCTAGTATTTCGTTTTCAATAAATGATTGTTACTGTGTAGAGTTTGTCATTCATTATTTATCCATTCTTTTTCTTCTAATCACGAACAATATTTTTCTTTTTAATTGTATTTCTATTTGTGTATTTAATGTGACGTGATATTTAAATGTTCTTTTTATTGAACACATTGAGTGTATGCGGCATTCTTTTACGTGTCCTCCTACATTCAGATCACCTGATATTAAAATGACGAGGTGTTGAACTCAGTTTTATTTGATATTCTTAAGAGTACTGCCGACTTGGAACACCTCGAGTCATTTTTTTTAAAAGAAGGATTATAGGGTGACACGTGCGATCGTTTACAAAAGTCATCAGATCACATTGATCTATTGATGGTGTTTAAAGAGATTTATTGTACCTCTTTTAAAAAAATTTTTCGTAGTTATTTCAATATATAGTCATTGAACAATCGGTTTATTATATGTGTATGCCTAAAAGAACTGTAAAACTGATCGTGTAAGAGATACTATTAATCTTTCAATAGTAAACTTAAGGATTTGTTACGTGTTTAGTAATGATAACGAAATAAGAATGACTTCAATATGTTAAATGAAGATGTCGAAATATTTTGCGAAATGTTGATAGTGCTTTTGGAAGACATTCTCAAAAGTAGATTTTGGCATATTATATTTTATGATTAATGTTCGACATTTGTCTATTTTTGGATTTGTCGGATTTGTCTATTTTTTCAGCGGACTTAAACAAGTAAATTTTAATTGCCCATTTTTGCCTACGGAAATGAATAAAAATATTTGTCCCTCACAAAAATTTCTGCCAGCGCTAGTGCTTTTATCAGACTTCAGTTACAAAAGTCGAGGTTGATTAATTAGCGTTTTCAAAGATGCGCCAGTTAATAACGCTTCTCTTTAATAAATGCTGCTTAAAGTTACCGTTTGCTTTGTAATAGTACATACTGTGAACAACTATGAATTATTTGACTATTCTTTGTTGAACTTTACGTGGAGATGGTCAGTTTGGTCAAGTTGGTCACATTGCGTTCGCAATTGTTCATCGCCAATAGGAGTGCAGGTGAATAGAATATCATTTTTAATAAAGGAATATTTGTCCGATATGACGTACCTCAAAGATCCGATGGACGAAGTGGAATATAGTCACGTTGTTTAGTAATCACCCTTTCTTATAACTTTAGCGACGCTATCGATCGTGTCAACGTTGTTTTAAGCTCAATAACTTATGTATCTCATTGTTGTCTTCAGACAGCTGTGAAAATCTACTTGGAGGAAAATCTGAGGAAAATGCACAATGTTATTCAGCAACATTTTGTGCAGGAAGTGGTGAATATACAGGTAAAACAACAGAACTTGTTTTCTGGATTCAAACATCACTGTATTATAGGACGATGGTCGAAATGGATAATTGTAACGGCATGCGAAATGAAAACGAAATCGTCGTGTAAAGGTGAAGAAATCATGGAACGTTTGTGTAAAGCTACAAATAAAACTCGTGAACTGGGAAAAAGTTCTAAACAGCTGAATTTTTCCTGTAGCTTTTTTGATGGATATAGTACCAAGAAAATAACATCGTGTGGGGTAGGTAGTAAACTACGAATTTACTTCTACTCTGCTTGGGTATTAGTCCATTTCAGTTAGTTTGTACAGAACCAGATATTGTGAAATTAAAAGAAAAGGATAAGCGTCAATGGACAGATTGGTTTTGTACAAAATGCAACGAACAAATATGGCAGGGAGAAGCAATCCGATACAAGAAGTGTTTAGATCATGAGCGTTGTCGAATAAAAACTCAGACAAGTTCAGATTGTTCAAAATGTACAAAAGGTAAGAACATCGTAAATATGCTTTACTGTTCAAAGAAAAAGTATCATAACTCATCATATTTCATTCTTGTGTTGCGTCAATTCTTTTAGCTTGGACTCGTTGGTCGTCATGGAGTGAATGTGGTCAAACCTGCGATATCAAAAGAAAATTTCGTCGCCGACGCTGTACAGGATTCGGTCGACCTTGTCTTTGTTCGCGAACGTGGGATCCTGAACAACTGGTTATCTGCGGCGAAGAAACTGGTAGATGTTCGAAGAAAAGAGGACACTGCATCGTTCATGGAACATGGGTAAATTTTCTTTTGATTTTCAACGATTTTGCTATGAAAATGACTTTACTTAAGAGTCACTGGAATAAGTGGTCTGCTTGTGAAAAGACATGTGGCTTTACTCAACGATATCGAGCACGTTCGTGCAATACTTCATCACCAAGTTTTGACGGAAACGCGTGCGTGGGTGACGAAATTCAAAGAGAAACATGTGAAAATGTCAGATTAAGCGCAAGTTTTAGATTATGTGATGTATAATTAAGTCTCTCGAGACATATTGTTCTAGGTACCAATCAGGTGTCCAGTTAACGGTCAATGGACTGACTGGTCGGCGTGGAAATGTAACATTATTTGTGGTGAAGGACGAATGACACGCAAAAGAGCCTGCACTAATCCTAGAGTTCAATTTGGAGGTAAACCTTGTTTGGGTGACAAAACTGAAATTGCAGGTATATAACTCGAACATCCATCCATAACGGAAAACAACTTCCATCAACATTATAACAAATATATGAATATATTAAGTTTTATCTAGAATGTAATCGACCGTCATGTACAAAAAGAGATGATGAATCATTAAAATTGATTGCAGACTACGTGTACAAGGAACTTTCTCTACTCGAACTAAATGTATTCGTGCGTAGTGGTGACGAAATTAGTTTTGATTGTACTACAAAAATGATCAGGAATATTCACCTGACTTTCATCAATTTGACGTACGTATTTCCTCTAATGCCTCTTACAATTTCTCATAGCGGTAATTTTAGAACGATGATATGGCTTTTGAATGGTGAACTTGTTCAAAATGGCGGTTTACTATTAAAAATGTTCAATGTTACGAATAATCAAAGTGGTGTATTAGTGTGTATGATCAACATTGAGTCCTATGATTATCCCGTTAAATTTTGGTCAATAATTGTTGTTCACGATCCAGTTGATCTCGATGTTTCATTTGGCTCAGATATTTCATTGACATGTTCCCTTGATCAGTTAGATGTTTTGGTTCCAAATCGTGTCGAGTTAATATGGATGTATAATTTCACCTATGTGTTTCGAATGCCAGAAACAAATCAACCAAACAACATGTTATATTTAGAACATGTCACAGTACAAGATAGCGGAATCTACGGATGTATAGCAATTGAAAAACAACATAAACAAACAGTTTTAGGCAAAGATATAGCAGTGGAAAAACGAAGAAAATGGTTGTCGAATTATACGAGATTAAAAGTTAAACCTGGTAAAAATCTTCGGTTTCTGTGGACGGTCATTTTTCTGGTACTGATCACATGTACTATAGTTCTCGTGGTCGTTGTGAGAAATGTTCGAAGTATCCGTAACGATCACGAACGATTGAAAAAAGTCACACAAATGAGGAGATAGAAGATTGGCTTATTCTGATTGAAATGCTCGTTTCTCATGTGTTAAAACCCTATATTTGGAATAAAGGAAGATCTCTTCCAACCCTCTGAGTTTCTCGGAAAACAATGAACAGAATGAATCATTTCTGCTGTATAGCTAGTTTTGAAATAAGAATAAAACAGAACTCATATCTGTCTCTTTGAATATTTGTCTTAAATCTGGTTTCTTTAACGACGAGAATTTTTTTTATTTAATTTATATTTATATATATTGTGTCATGACGTTAAATTAACAATAAAAGAAATTCTAACAGGAACAATAAAAAGAAAAAATTCAACAAAAATTAAAAGAAATCGTAATAAAACCAAACAGCCTGTGCAAATGCGACTAATAAACAACCTAATAATAATAAAGAATAATAAATAGTTTTAAATAGTGTATATACATGCGCACATATGCTTACACCAAAATACAAATTATTTTTTTTAAGATACTGTAACAGATTTGGCTAAATTTCTTGGACAATCAACATCATAACCACGTAAGACAGCAATATGGAAAGATAGTAATTGCATTGGGACAACACATAGAATACCTTGAAGACAATCAACTGTTCGTGGTAATGCAATGTGACGATGAGCCATTTTAATTAATTCATCATCATTATCATTACAAATTAACATTGGTTGGCCACCCCGTGCCAATACCTGATTATATGCATTCATACATTTCTTAAATTGAAAAAGAAAAAACTTTGACAGATCTCTTTGGATACTCAAATGTTAGACCATTTACCGTTTTAACTGGATCATCCATAATAATCATCACAATTGGCATCGTATCATCGACCATAGCCAATGGGCCATGTTTTAATTCACCAGCTAATATTCCTTCCGAGTGCATATATGTTAATTCTTTCACTTTCTAAAAAAATACAAACTGGATTTATTACTATACGCTTTGATAGAGAAAGAACTGCATCGAATACCAAATAATAATGTTCTTACATAAGGCCATCGGACAAGTCATTTTCTTTTAAACGTTGTATCCTGAGGTGAAATTTGACAAAATATTTATATCTTTAGCTGTTTCCTCATTGAAAGTGATGCCATTTCTACTGCTAGAACTGAAAAAATATTTTCTTCTGATAAAATACTCACCAATGCACCTTCAAGACATGTGGCAAAATTAAATCCACGCCCCATAACCAATAATGATGTTTCCTTATAAAGTGACTTAGCATAATCTTGTATTATTTTATCATAACTAAGAACACGTTTAATTAAATTGGGTAATTGTTGTAAACCTTCAATTATTTCTTTACGACGTTGTTCTTTTGATAAAGAATCTTCGCTTAATACTAAGCCAAACATGACAAGAGCAATAAATTGACTTGTATATGCTTTCGTACTAGCAACACCTATTAAATAAAATGATGATTATAAAAAATTACTTGAAGGAATCTGTTTACTTGAAGTATACCTATTTCTGGACCAGCATTAATATGTACACCACAATGAGATTCTCTTGAAATACTTGAACCAACTGTATTTGTAATACCCAATATGAGTGCACCACGTTGTTTACAGTATCTTAAGGCCAAAATTGTATCGGCTGTTTCACCTTAAAAGGAAAAGAAATCATTGATACTGCAGGAAGTTTCAGTTTCATATATTTTCTCTTATACCTGATTGTGAAATAAATATGCACACATCATCACGAAACACGGGTGTACTACGATCCAAGAAATCAGATGCCAGTTCAACCATAACTGGTAACTCGGATAATTCTTCTAATAATTGTCTTGTTGCCACGGCACTATGATAACTTGTACCACAGCCAATCAAAATTAATCGTCGACAACGGCGTATTTCATTTAAATAGTCTTTGATACCACCTAATACAATTTTTTGCGTATCAAAACATACACGGCCACGCATGGTATTTACGACCGATTCAGGTTGTTCAAATATTTCTTTTTGCATAAAATATTGATAGCTACCTAAACATATAGAATTATGTGGAACCAATCCAACCACGCATCTCTATCACACACATACCTTTCATTATTTGCTGTAATTCTAGTTTGAGTTCATGTATTTCTCTTATAGCTGATTGAGCAACAGCATCACCATGTTGCGTGCGATGAATTGTTAATGCACCATTGCTAACACATGCTAAATCGTCATCTTCCATAAATATAACTTGATTTGTATGTTCAATAATGGCACTTAAAATAGTATTCACTACTGAAGCTTGAAACTTAAAATCTTTCTCTTCTTACTCATACCTGGCATCAGATGCAAAGTAATATTCAATACTTCGATCATTTCCTGTCACACTTAAATCGGACGTTGTATGATCGCTTATTAAAAGTGGTGGTGAAAATAAACCACGAAGATCTAAGAAAAAATAAATTAAACAATATCGTTAAAACTTGGCGATATGATGTGTTAATCGATAACAACACAGCAAACAAATATTAATAGCAAGAGTTAAACAAGCTAGCATGCATATACATTGATTATTCATTTACTTTAAAAAAATGGAATAGCACATTGTCCGCTGATGACGTATTTTTTTCTCAACACAGCTTTCTTCTTTACCATTTTACGGTTCTTAGAAAAAAACACATAGAGCATCCAGCAGGTTTAACCTCTCCAATGCTCATTATTTTCGTTCAGTATACATTTGCTTTCTTTTTTCTTCGTGTATAATAAACAGTGTACAGAATGAAACAGAAAAGGATATGTTTATACAGCCTCCATCTTGAGCATCAATTGATGCTCATGAGCAATGAAGAGGTTAAGTAAGCGCTAGCGAAAATGTGTGTCAACTCTACTCTTCTTTTCTATTAGTCTTGTTCAGAGCAGACAACGAAAAACAATATTCCTCAAAGATAAAAATAAACTTGGATCACCATTTGTTGCGTACAACAAGAATGAATTTCATGCAATTATTTTTTATAAGTTTAAATTCGTCAACATTATGTATAGACTTTTACTTGCTGGAATAGTTTCTGACAAATGACTGTTAACTGTTGTTGTCATACGAATATCTTTGCTGTTATGATGATTTACTGCAAAAATCAAACAAATTTTATAAGATGCTGAATAAAACGGATCATAAGTGTTTTAAATTAATAGGCTACATGACTTACATCTAAGCCTTTTCTCTGCCGTTTAGCATGCAGAAGTCTTTAAATATACAAAATTAAGTCCGATTAAAATAGCATATGTAGTTGCAAGTTCTGCATAAATAAATGAAAGCAAGACTTATTTGCTAATGCATAAACTACTAGTAGTACTACAAGAGAGTAATTTCATCGATTTTTCTACTACACGAACACCTATACGCTACCTTTTGGCTCTGTCGTTGCTGGAAATAAATAAGAAGAAATAGAGCACATTCAAATACAACTGTCTTTTCAAATCAAAATACAAACGACAGATGTGTGAAGCAATCAAGCAAAGTATATTAGCAATCAAGCAACCAAGAAAACAAAAGAGCAACAGTCACTACTGCACTAACTTCTCCAACCGAGATCACCAGTTCATCATGTTTCTCACTATAGTAGACATTTGCATTATGCATTTGTTTATTAAGACAACTGCAAAGACCTCATTATTACGTTTAATTTTATGTATTGAACAAAAGTCAACGGCTGACAAAATAAAAAAATTTGCTAAGCGTTTTGCATTGTTGCAAATAAAAGTAGCTGATTGTGAAGGATAAGCGTCAAATTACGCAAACGTAATACAACGGTCAAGCTTAAAGAGACAAAGAAGCAATTTTACCTTTGGATAATCTTTTGTCGGTCAAATCGACTATAGAAACACATGAGTTATAAACTTAAACTGATTAGCTATGTTTGGTTTAGCTGTCCTTCCATTCAAATCCTATCTTCTTCAAGTCCAATTGATTATCTTTTTACCTTTACTGAACATGACTGGAATGTGATTTGTTGCCAATTGATCAGAACATTTAACGCCAATAACCATTGGGCTTCCACGACTAAAATTTACGTACGTTCGATAATATTTCATCTATTTCCTTATGACTGAAACATACCGTGTACCACATAGTTCACCAGGATAATGCACACTTTTGAACAGTAACGCAAATGCACCTTCCTTAAATCAAACTTCATCATCACTTGATGGGATATATCGATACCAAATCTACTTACCAATTGTGAACATGTTAATTCGATTAATTTTTGAAAACTAATATTTTCATTTTTATGTTTGTCATACAGATATTTGACTAACTTGACAACAGCTTCCGTATCAGTTTCCGATTCAAATTTATATCCTTTATTCATCTGAAAACATGTAGTAAAGAATAAGTATAAAAACACGTGTAAAAAAATGTTATTTTCTATTTTACCAAAAATTGTTTGATATCTTTATAATTGGTTATTATTCCATTATGAACGCAAACAAATTGATTTTGTTCATCGGAACGTTGTGGATGACTATTAACTGGACTCGGTTCACCATGAGTTGCCCAACGTGTATGTGCAATACCAACATGAATAGTAAATTCAGCATTCCAGTTAATATCGGTCAATACTACAAATAAAGCATATACTTCATGTCAAAATATTGTTTCTCATCATTACTTACAATTCACTTGTATTTCCAATTCTTCAACTTTTCCTTTTTGTCTTACTACAATGCATTGTCGTTTTTTACCATCGTTTAATGTTGAATCCAATTCGCCATCAAACGCAATTCCTGATGAATCATAACCACGATATTCAAGACGATGCAAACCGTTTATTAATATGTCAGCAATAAAACGACGATCACGCTTAACCAAATAATTTAAATAGCCAAATATCCCTAAAATACAGTCAATTAGTATGACTTGAGCTTACGTCAATTTCATTCATTCAGGTTAAAATAACATGTTCGAAATCGTTTCATTAAACTACACAAATGCTATCAGTATGAACCTGACGTCTACAGTAAAAAATTCTCTTGTTTAGTTTAAGTGGATTCTAATTCTCTGAAAACTAGATTTAGACAGTTTACAACAAACAGTTTTCCAACGTCGTATACGAAAGGAGTGTGCCTGAGTTGGCGTTAGAATGACTCGCCTGCCTGACATATATGGAAAGAAAAGAGAACTAAAATGCATCCTTTTTTCCGTCATAAAATCGACAGCAAAGTACATGTAGAATATTTACAAATCTTCTGATCTGAAATGGCAAGAGACAACAATCTTACAAGAATAAAGACAAGAAAATGGAACAGTGATACTCTTTGAAAAACGATATAACTATTCGATTAAAAGAAAAAAACAATAACAACTAAGATTTTTCAATAAACAATAATAACGATTTTTCCATGCAGTGCACTCATCCATTTAGAAGAAATAGTTTAGTTACACACTGTTCGTTCTATTTTAAGAATTCTACTTCGTATTCATATACTTGACGTGCCATTTAAAAAAATTGTATGACTATTGAGCAGGCTAAAATTCATACTTACCACACATTTTTATGTAAAACTTGTGAGGATAAAAGTAACAGTTGATAGAATATATATCTAGAAAGACCGATGTTTGTTTAAAACTGTTATTCTTTTACACTAGAAGAATTTCACTAAATTTATAATGTGTGTAGGAGATGGGCAATGCAATTCCACGTGTTCAAACGACATTTGTAGTGTGATTGCAGTATCATGGTACCATGTGCTGAATGAAATAGAGAAGCAAAAGAAAATTGCTGTTTTCCATAAAAAAAAAGAATGAGAAGAGAAAACAGAATGACGTTCGAACGATCCCTTTCTCTGTAGATTTATACATAGTATACTATAAGAACATTTATGTTATATTAAAACTAACGTCTTTTTCTGTTTTTTTTCTCGTTGTTATATCCTATTCTGTTCTTTTTTTCTTTCTATTTTTCTTTCCTTATACAATTAGATAGGTATAAGAGTAATGTTTTCGTAGTTTGTACGTCTATTTATTGACCGATTCTTAATTTTTAAACACTTTAATAGTCACATTAAATCAGCGGAAGTATAGTAATCGTCAAAGTACGTCAAGAATGGACTGTCATCGAATTGTATATTGTCTAGTTAGTTTGACCGTGCACTGCAGCAAAATATCAGTTTCAGCAAACGACGTTGAAAGAAAAATTCTTTCGGTCAACATTGGCTGAGATTGACCCTTCGCTAATTTTTGTCTTTGAAACTTTTTCTCATTGAAGTTTTTATGCTATACGTCATTCGATGTGATGAGCTAATTTCGAACTGATTGTATAAAAAAATACATTAGTGGCTAAGCAGTCTGTGATCAGATGTGAACTTTTTTGTTTTTTCCACTTCCGTCCAATACGTAGCTTTTTATGACTGATTGGCTATTGTTTGAAATTTGAAATTATTTTACTCTATTCCTAAAATTAAAGCTGTGCAATATTGTATATTTCCACAGTGTCGAACTCTTCTGTTCAAATTGTATGAGCACATGCAGTCGAACATCATATGTACGAGTTAAATTTGAAAACTTAGTAATAATAGTATTACTTACATAGGATGAGAGATGCAAAATACAACGGGGATAAACAGAGCGACAAAAAAATAAATGAATCCTAAGGACTAAATTTATTCAAATTTGAACAAGATCTTGATGAAGATTGGGTGAAGATTAATATTTGGCAAAGATCTTGAGAGAGCAGACTTAAACTTTCTACATGACGTGGAAATCTTACTTTGAAGCACTTAAGGGATAGAAGGGGATTCGTTACCCATTCTTGATTTTAAATTTCACACAGGATCAGCCTAGTCGATAAACCGTTGTCAAAACTAGAAAAAAACCTGATGACTCGTAAATCGACCAGTTTTCCCGATTTAATCAGAAAAATTTGAAATTTCGACACGGTCTATGGGGTACTTTTTTATTTGTTTCATCAGAAAGAGAAAATTGTATTTTTTATTCAAAGCCAAATAGGCAATCCTTTTTCAACATTACATCATCTATTTTCCACGTCTTTTCTTCTCCTTCTATCGAACACGTATATTTTATATTCTGAATAATGTATATTTATGTGCAAACAACGTGACCTTTACTTAATGCATTATTTATCTTTTATAGTTTACAGAAAACATCATTTGGTCACTTAGACCAAATCGCTTTTTTCTGAACATGCACTTTGAAAGCTCGAAGAAAAAGCTCTTAAAACTATACTCTTTTGACGAGCGTTCAAATCTCGTTCATAAAGAAGTGATTAATGCAAAATGCACACAACATTACGTTTTGAGTATGACTCTTATCACTGCGTCAGCTTAAACAACTCAAAAACATTATTATATTCTCCAATGCGGTAATCACATATAGACAGATTCTTACAAAAATATGTTAAAATGTGTAGGTGAGACAAATTTCTCTTTAAAGGATAATGAGAGATTAGTGTACCGATGAAAAAAATAAATGCCAAATAATTTTTATATCTCTGAGAACTTCTTTTGTTTTTTTAACAACAATGAAAAAATAATGATATAATGTGATATTTACACAACGTCAAACATATTTGAGAGGTACTACTAGATCCAGTTACGTCGCGACAATTAAATAATCTATAAATAGGGATTTTTAACACAAAAATGTAAATCTATTGTAAAATAAAGAAAAACACTATAGGTATGAATGTTTAATACGCATTCATTGATCATACAATATATTTAATCTTGCATATCCGTATATTCATCTTACGTATATTTAATTGATCCCAAAAGTTTTTCTCCCCAACAGTATATTTCAACTTGTCTTAATATTGAATTTATGATAAATTTACTGCAAATGTATTAATATTAATTAAAACTTAAAACCTATGTGAAAATATATAGCTGACAGACAATACAAAGTGAAAATATATAGCTGACAGACAGTACAGACTTAGCCTTCAAACGAACTGTTCAATGAAACAATCCCGTACTCCAAAAAACATAGAGGCATCTTTGGTATCATTCTGCAACTATTTTTCATCCGTCTACATCCATCTTGATGAGAACATATCCATTCAAATGTACATGCAACTTCATAAGACGTTTCACTGCAGTTATAGAATGCAGCTTCATTCACATTTTCGTCGCGCTCAGTTTGTTTCGAAAGCAATGGAATACTGGTATAATCCAAAATATTGACAGCAAAGATTGAGAGTGTAAATAGAATTCTGGAGCTAAAAAAGAAACGACAACATGGATGTGACCCTTCTCGAGATACCGAAAAATGTCTTAACTCACTTCATTTTAGCTCTCTAAAGAATATTATATATTTCTACTACCTCTATAAATGTTGTTTTTGTAATACATAAGATTGTAGATTGCCATGTCAGAAAAATAACGAACATGCCATTCATTTTCAGATTGTAGACTAACTTTAATCTTTCATTTAACAAACGAGATAGTATTGATATTTGCTATTAGGATGTGTATTTACTCCTTAGTTACACGTTTAATTCAGTTGAACACGAGATCCTAATGTAATGTTTTCGTATGAATACAACGATGTATCTGATTGTTATCCTCCTCCATAAAGTGCAACCAGGCGGACATTTGGCCAAAAGCCCAAAAGCTATTTTGACCAGATTTAAAGAGTGGAAAATACTCTTCGATATGCGCTCTATTTAATGGCATAAATTTTTTTGTTCCAGTTGATAAGGTGAGAAAACGCATAAGTAAACAGTAGCCTGAAACCACAGGCCCATGTCATAAAAATTATTACTTTTTATTTCTAAGAAAGCTGTAAATAAAAACAATAAAGATTCTGAATCTAGACTCTTTGGGTATTCTGGTAGCGCAGAAATTTCTCAGTTTAGACCTGAACCCTTAGAGAAATAGTATTAGTTTTTAAACAAGTGGTTTTCCATACAGCTGTGATCAGTATAATGGGATTCCCAAATTTTCTCAACGTTTAAACAGGCTCAAAATGTGCACACATGTTTATCTAGCTATTCTACACCAATGGAGATAATATAAACTAGCATAAACGTTCCTGGACTACGCTACGAGTTTTCCAAAACCCCTTCATTTTCCCCATGAAATCTGTTTTTCTTAGTCGAGGAGTACTTTTAAGAAAACCAGCGTGATATTTGGAGACAGCGTGTGAAACTGCATTGAACAATGTATAACACGATAAGTTCTAGATCCAATACTTATCCATCGAAATTTTTTCGCATGAACCTTGAAGACCGATTTTGTTAAGGATGAAAAAGTTCTGATGTCGGCCTGCTATTAGAGAAATTAACACTGTGTTCTCATAATAAACTCAAAATTATTAAATAACCGAGATTAAATCAACATTTTTAGTATCATCGTTTAGTCGACGGCGATGGTATTGTAGACAATATAAGGTCCGTGTACGTAGCAAAATACCATCGAACAGTTTAGACGACGGCGATGGGTATAGTACACAAGACCAGGTGCGCGTACGTGGCAAAATGTGTCGTGTTAGCCACTACTATCACAAATTTAAATCTAAATAAGTTAAACTGTTTTGTTCATCAAAATGTTAATTTTCACGTCTACTGAAAAAGACAAACCAGTTTTGAATCATAATGGGTATCAATACACCAAAAAACGAGCAAACAAAACAAATAATCAATGGCGGTGTCGGGATCGAACATGTTCAAGTACAATATCATTATGTACAGACGATGTGAGAATTTTACGGAATGAATCAGCGCACACATGTTAACCAGATACCACCAAAGTTCTCATCGATATTGCTGTTGATAATATGAAAAAACGTGCAAGAGAGGAAACACTACCTATTCCAAAAATATATTCACAAGAGGTCGTCAGAGAAAGAGTTGCCAGTCCTGGTCTTGCAACTGATCGTGTGTTTCCAACACTTCCGAATGTTGATGCTTCACTTTATCGTCGTAGAGTGCTTAACTACTCCAAATTGCCAACAACCATCGATGAAATCGCTTTGACCGGCTTATAGAGGCTATCGAAAGAAGGAGGAGAATTCTTACTTATCGATGAAAAATGTAAGTAACCTAGAGTTAGACGTGGCTCATCGCTGATACTTCTGGCTTTATTTAAACTAGATGGTACAGATCGGCTCATGATATTTGGATCGGAATGGAGCATACGATTTTTGTCCTCTTGTTCATTCTGGCATTCAGACGGTACATTCAAAGTTCGTCCATTATTCTTCGAACAACTTTATATAGTTTTCGGTTTTCAAAACGGATTCATGATACCATGTACATATTCTTTAACTACACGGAAAAATTCCGTTGTCTACACGAAAATATTGAGACATTTAATAGAATATGGTAAAAAGTTGAATGTTGAAATGAATCCACAGCGCCTGACCTGCGATTTCGAACAAGCCACAATAAATTCTTTTGTCGATATTTTTCCACATATCAAAATCAATGGCTGTTTCTTCCATTATGCTCAATCGCTGTGGAGAAAAATTCAGGAAGTTGGTATGATGCGTCATTTTGAAAAAACAAATGACAATAAGACTGTAATACCGAAGAGTGAACGAAAAAAAGCTGATCATATTTATGAATTTGTCCGATTGTTACGTGATGAACATTCGTTCCAGCATCATCAAACTGCAGCATCGGAAATACGCGCTCCAAAAAGAAAGAAACTATATATCGATATTGACAACAAGTTGAAAGAATTACTTCATGGCTTTGCTACCGGTATAGTGAATGAAGTTGAATTAGTTATAAAATGTGATAGAGCAGCTAAAACTACCTAAATCACAAAATAGTAGTACTTAAATACTAGAATTAAAAATAATAGTTACTGTTACCATTTTTCAAATAATATAAATATATTACAGTTGTTTCACTTGAGACTAGTTTCGTCTTTATGCACAAGGCAACATCAGTCAGATGATGACAAAAACTCGAGAATCCAGTATCTCGAAAAGCATCTTTATGTTCTTGTTTTCGCTTTTCTCGTTATTTGTCCAATATAACTGCCAATATAACACAAGAGGTACGAACAATTATATTAAAGCTAATTAAGTGGAAACTGATATGGGACGAACTGAGAGAGAAGTGTTGATGGGACGAACTGAGAAAAAAATCTTCGTGGGACGGATTGAAAAGTCAATTTGGAACGAACTGAGAGTAAACCCATGTATATAGGTGAAACGAAAAGTGTCTTGGAATAAAATAATATGATTCTCCACAGATCAAAGTTAAGTTGCCAGATTTATTAGCCATGTGAAATTTTCATTTGCACAGATGACAGGACAGTTCAAGAAGGTTTTCAGTTATTTATCAAAATATGATCCTTTATTGAAACGACAAATAGCTCAAGATTTAGTTTTCGTAACATTCCACTTTTTAAAATAAAAATCTGCCATCTCACAAGTCTAGACTCACTTACAATGGTTAGAAACTGCAGCCTCTGATAAACACGAATCTGTCACCTAAATATTGTCTACTCTTCCCAGGTCGAAGAATCGTACTAAGATCGTACTAGAAGTAAGGAGTGATATGACCCGTACTGTAGGATCGTATGACTTCTTATAGTACGGTTTTTATACGAGTCTGATTATATGACGGTCAAGTATTCCGTATGAAATCGTGCAGTAGGATTCGTACAAAATCGTTTGGTGAAAACCGTAGGTGTTCGTGTCGTAAGATCTCATACGATTTGAGCTGAAATCGGATTCTTTAGATAATTTCTTTGGTGCGATTTATACTTGAAATATTAAAAAAACGCAAGTTCTAATTCAATTGACTTGTTTAGTATTAGAAGTATATTGCTGCAGGAAATTCACTTTAATTTCATAGCACAATCGACGCAAAAACAGAAGAGGAGTGTGAGAAACGTGAGCAAAGATTTTTTTTGTTTAAATTCGAAACTTCCATCAGATGAACTTGTGTTGCTGAAAAACAAAGTTCACGAAATAAACACATTTTTTCATCTCAGTCCAAATTATTTTTGTAATGCTTTGCTAGTTGGTCTTTCTTTTTAAAATTTGTTATTTTTATTTTTAAATTCTTTTGTCATGTTTTGACGTGATTTATTAAATCAACTAAAATATTTTTACAGTTTTTCCAACCTGGCGACTGTTTTTCTAAACCTTTTATATTTCATGTACATGATTAAAAGACATCGATTGTTATACGAAGCGTATAGTCTGAACTCTGTGACGTTTCAGAGACCACGATTTGGACGTCGATCGTACCATTTCGTATGTATGAACTTATACGATTACTTAAGCTCATATCGGTTCGTGTACGATCATACAATACAATCGTACCTGATCGCATTCGATCTTATCTGATTGCTTGTACGATTCTTTGGTTTGAGTTAGTTCGAAGAAAAAACGTTTTTTCTTATCAAGATGTTGAAATGGAGTTAGCATGGTTCTAACTCGTAAACTAAGAAGCTTTTACAAAAACACATTTTAAAACAGTACATACTATTCTAAAAAACAGCAACGTAGCTGTATATAAAAGGCAGGAGTTGTCAAAAAAAGTTTTCTGCTGATAGAAAAAATGTTCGTTTTTCTCTGTTCTCTAGAGAACACGTGGAAATAATCTTCAAAAATCACCAGAAGAAAACTAAAAAGCTTTAAGAAATATGTCCGAAATAGTTCGTGTATACAGTAGTTTAGTCTCGATTCGTCCCCTAAAAATTTTCTTATATTTCGTTTTGTCTGAAGTCGTCCTTAGATGTACGTATAGGGTGAAATAAACGAATAAATAATTTATTATTAAAAATATTTACAAGATACATACTTTACAAATAGCAGAAATTATACAAGTTCAATACTCATGAGAGATGATATCAGTTTTTGATTAGAGTTGTTTCAATAGCTCTGCTACATAGAGGCTAATTTTCCAAACTAAGATCACTTTTTTTTAATTATTTCAATATCTCAGCAACGATACAACTTTTTGACTTCCGCATTTTGTCAAAATTCATCAAAATGTTTAGTCTAAAAGAGCCCCTATTCTGACAAAGTCTTGAGAACATTGACTGAACGCTACTTCACTATAATACGTCGTAGTTTTAGGAGCGTTTCAAAATATACTTCGACCGGTCGTTATTCCTCTATTCCTGTTCTGTATAGCTATGATACAACATAATTTAGAACTGTTTTATTTATAACTGTCATCTTTTGTAATTGCATGAACGGCTCATTCTTAATTGAGGTCACTTTTTATAATTAAAAAAATAAAAATGATCTCAGTTTGGAAAACGAGTTTGTAGCTCCTATTTTAATAAAATATGACTTACTAAACTGTATAGAATAAAATTGTATATAATAGGGTGAAGTCAAAGTCTAAAACATTCTATTCAAATACGTTAAACAAAAGTCTTTTCGTCCATTCGCTTTAAATGTGTTCTGTTTTGTAACAATCCGACCCCTTATCCAGTTTTGGATTTTTCAGCACATATAAAGTCATTTTTTTCTTTATGGAGGAGCAATGTTTCTGTATTTTAGAATGCTATTATTAAATAGAAAGGACGGAGGACGACAAGAGGTAAAATCGACCCACTCTCAAAGCAGTCTTACGTTAACTCATACGATGCAGTTTTTATCCACGATTAACGCTAACATATTTTTAAATCTTAAAACTCCTTCTCGTCTATTGATCAAAATAAGACAATTTCGTCGAGTTTCTTGAGGTCTGACACAGTTTCTTATATGATTACTACCTCAGGAACTGTTCTAGCAAAAAACGACGAGTCTGGCCGCTTTTTCTGGCCAAAGGATCGCGGTTCTAGGTAGCTTTTTTCATCAAAAAACTGCAACCGTAGTGTAAGCTGTTGATGACCGCACTTTTGAGCTGCCAAAGTGGCCGCCTACACTATGTTTGATATTGTTCGGAAAACTGCCTAGAACCGCCGTGTTTTAAATAAAAAAAACACTGCCAGATGCGGTTTTCTCCAATGCAGTACTCATGTAAAAACTGCTCGAGACATCGGAGTTTGTGTCATACTAGCCGCTTTGGCAGTTCAAAAGTGCGGTCATCAACAGCTTACAGCACAGTTGCCGTTTTTCGATGAAAAAATCCACATCAAATCAGAAAAAAAATTCAAAAATCAGGAGACAGAAGCGAGGCAGAAAAAAGTTCAAAAATCGGAAATTTTCTGCCAGAATCAAAAGAGCTGGGATCCCTGGTGTTAACGGATATCGTTCTCAATAATTAAATCTACCATAAAGATGTTTTATACTTGTGCTTCAACGATGATTTACGTTCAATGCTTCTTTAACTATAGGTCCAGATCCGTTTTCAAAAGTTAAACGAACAGTTTTAATCCTTGTCGTTTTCATGCATATGAGGCACAAACAATTTTTCTTCTTCAATCAGTCTCCACGTCAAACAAAGTTTGACGAAGAAAGGCCAACAAGATGGGAATAGCTGCCCTTACTGAATGTACTTGGTACAAGTACTTATTTACTAGATCAGTACTTGGGAAGTACGCGACAAGTTAAGCCTTTGACAAGTACTTCAGCAAGAACTTGTCAAATGTCATTACTTGACTTGCTTGAGCCAAGTACTTGGACAAGTCAGGCATTCTTTTCTTTGCATTTACCACTTGTATATGAACACCACAATATCAATCGTTATACACTTATAAAATAAACTTATATATTTCTACTCAGTTGAACAAACTTAGTGGCCGTGCATGTATTTGCTCTACAAAAATAGACTATAGCTCCAGGATACGTATAAAATATATGGTGTGTTGTGTCTGCATAACTCATTCTATTGATTTAAGATAACTATTTTTGTCATAATTTATTTCGTTTTTTAGTATTTTCGTCACTCGTTCGTAGAATTGGGTAATACCACAGAACATAGTTAAATGTCACATGAATAAAAGGTCGATGATACTTTAGACAGTACAATAGTGCAAAAAACAAATGGTATATAACCTAGTGTGACTGTTTTACGAAGAAAGAAAACTGTTTTACTTCTCGATGCCTTATTATGGAAAGTGTTCGTTAGCTAACCAGTTGAAAAAAATGATTTCACATCCAATGAAAGTTGTAACCTTTGGTTTCAAGGCAGGACATACTTTGTCATCTGTATTTGGGAAAACATTTCGCAATAGGATAAATGAGAAAAGAGTAGTGTATAAATATGACTGTTCTGACTGCACAAACAGTTATATTGGACAAACAGCAAGAGGTGAAAAGCGAAAACAAGAACATAAAGATTCTTCTCAAGGTACTGGATACTCAAGGATTGCCAATCATAGTTTAGTTACTGGCCATAGAACAAACTGGAACAGTGAAATTCTTGCGTTTGAATCTCATGTAGAGCCCTGCATTAGACGGACATGTCCATGGATGTCCGTGGACATGGACAGTTTTTTTAAATCTGCCCATGGACATGGACGGACATGGGCAAAAAAAAATTGTCCATGCAGGTCTCTAATTCTCATACGCAAAACGTATTTAAAAAACGCGAACATTTCATGGGCAAACTGATGGATATGGACAGAAAAAAAACTTTTGTCCATGGACATGGACGGACAGGGACAAAAAAAAATTGCCCATGCAGGTCTCTAATCTCATGCAACAAAAAGAGAGATAAAAGAAAGTTTACTAATGGATATATACAGGAGAAAGAAAATTAGGAATATTTATTCTCAAAAAACCTTTATTCTCAATGTTTTCTGATGATACATCGGGTCATGTAGGACAGATATTGGACTAGTTTGTATTTTTATTATTTTTCTATTGTGTTCTAGACATGTGTTTCTTCTTTTTCTTTTATG